TCACAAGCATTGGCAGACGAACAGCAAAAAATGGATTAAAATACCCAGCCCATCTCTCCTGCCTTATATTTCTCCCAGGCCTAAACAATTTTAATGGTAAGAGCCATGCTGCTAACAGTCACTCAAAGCTGAATAATGTTCCAGACAGCAACTCAAAAAGCTATCATTTTTTTAAAAGCAGTGTGGTAAGACATGCTGTTAAGACTAGATCAGAAACCATCATACACTAAACTCATGCACAAACTTCTGCAGAGAAGTTTTACCACAGTGTTAGACAGAAATAAGTCATTAAGAAACAGACCACCAGCAGGTAGAAATCTAGATGCACAAGACATGCAGGAAGCCCAGAAAGAGTTTTTAAAACTAGTATAACAACATGCTCACTTCTTAAATATGTCAAAAATAATAAAAGGTCCTGCCAATTACAACCAAGAAAGGAGAACTGAGCATCATTTTGGAAGAAATGAAGATAAAAGCAAAAATGTTTTAATAATGTGTGTTAATGGGCCACTGAATTCAGAATGAAATGCTACTAAAAGAAACATGCCACTGCAATAGCCTGTGTCATTTGAATGTGCTCTGCACATGTAACACCAAGATTTGACATCTCTTGCTATAATGTTCAGCGATTTAAAGCATGTCCAGTAACAGCTCCACAATGGAAGCAGTCCTGATAAAATGCCACTAGTGGAGTTACCCAATGGATGAATTTGACCTCAAGTCTAGCACATTATTTTAGCTTCTTATTTTAAGTTACATGCACACAGTCTTTAGTTTGCCCTTCCAATCCAACATACTTTGGAACTGATGAAATGTGACCTGTTGAAACTAACTGACACATGCTGGATCCCTTCTCAGAGATGCTGAGCTTTTGTTTTGTATTGCAAAATCCTCTAACTGCTCAAAAAACAGAGTAAATGGAACCCTCTCCTCATGTTTTTGCATGATAATAGAGCTGCAATGTGAAAACAAGCATTTTCCTGAACAGGTGAGGGGGTGAAAGCAGGAGGAGAGTGTATAGTACACATTCATTCTTGAGCCCTTGGCAGACATTATTATAATGGTGCTATTAGGAATTTTATGCCCCATCTCAAAAATAATGCATCCTGCCATGCCAGATATCACAGACTGTGGGCTGCTCTGGGCTTGATGCTGATAAGCTGATTGTTAGTAGTACTGGCTTGGGGTAGCCTCAGGTCTCAGTTGGAGACCTAGGGCTACTCTGGGTCCCAGCTGGAGGCTCAATGCTGTCCCTAACCCAATCTCAGGGATTGGGCTGGGGGCAGCCCTGATCCCAATGTTGATTATCAGCTGTTTGTTGGCATTGGGCACAGGGAGGCCTCAAATTTGGGACCTATGTCACACATTCAAATTAATATGCAATACAAAACAGCCACAAAGATGCTCTACATAAAATGGCAAATCAGTAGAACATCTTTGTGGCTGGTTTCCCATGTTAATGCACCACAAACTAGCTGAACATATGACATGTTGCAATTTATGACACAATTAATATAATACACATTAATTATGCCATAGAGGTAACATTTGCCAGGGCCCTTGGCCCATCTTCCAAGAGCAAAGACAATAGATACCACTGAAAGACTAAATGGGATTCTGAAGATCATGGGAAGCAGTCATGGGTCATGACTCACACTGGCATAAATAACGCCATTCCTCAAATCACTGCTGGCTTGAGGGAACTTGGAAAGAAAGGAGAATTCAAGAGAACTTATCACTGAGCCTTTCTGTCCCATAAACAATAAAAGGTAGAGACTGAAGGCAAACCACGGCTCACCAAATGACCAGTACAGAGTAGGAGTGTTCAACTCCTTGGCCCATAGAACTATGTAATCCAGTCCATTGCTTCCCCACCACCAAATATACAAGCCCCATGTGGCTGGATCAGCCCCAGTTGGACTGGCCCCATAAAGAGAGATTGGGCCCCATAAGGCTGCACTGGGCTCTGGGTGGGCCAACACCATGCACCACATTAGGCTCACAGACCAGATCTGGCCCATGGACACAGCTGGCACTATTCATTTGGCCTGTGGGCCAAAAAGGTGAGGGCACCACTGCTGTGGGCATCTCTGTGCTACTTCCTGTGGGGAATGGAGGATGCATGGCTTGGACTCCACCTTACCTCTCAGTAGAAAAGGAATCATCAACATTGGTGATGAAGTCAATGGTACCAGCAAGCACTGTTCATAATACATAGATTTAGCTCAGGATCCAGTAACCTTAGCAGACCAGTTTAAGCCACACAGTTACAGTGATAAGAAGCTGCCAGCAAAATCTCTAGCTTCAGCAGAGTCTTCATCTCATCTTTTGCTCATTTCACCCTGTGGCTTGTCAGGCAGGCAAAGTCAACTTTATCCTCAATAACCTGGAAAATGCTGCTGACCATTAAACTAGATCAAAGCTAACATGTGAATGCCTTTACACGCTATGGTCACTTCCAGTGTCATCACAAACATACACAAAGGTCCTGTCTACCCGAAATCTAGTCTAACCAGCTAACCCATCAACATCTTGTCTACACTACAATTTTAGTGCATTCATTCATATATTAGATTAGTTTAACACATTAAAATATCTTGTTTTCTAGCACAGACATGACCTATGGTAGATGCTAAATATTGTTTACCACTAAGTTATTCAAAATACATGCACATTAACATACCTCATTTTCCTAGTGTACGCAACGGCGTAAAGTTAACATTATAATACAAAATGAAAAAGCCAGACATCAACACACAAAATTCATTCTAATATAACATGTAAAGGTCAGAACATCAGATTAGGTCATTGTTAGGATTTCCCTGGCACAAAAAAGAAAGTTAAGTATTGAATTTCTGCCTATTTATTGAAAACAGTATCTTACTGCCACTTCCTTGTTAGTTTGTGAATCATCTGGTTTTCCAAAAGAAATGGATCTAAGCAGGAGCACTTCCAATTGGAAGAGTTATTGTCTCTTTTCTTAATTACAAACCACGTGAAAAATAAGCCATTAAAGACTTCTCTGTTACCGCTAGGAAGGATCCCCACATCCTGGAAGCCTCCTCATCAGCACATGATATTGCCTTCTTAAAAGGGCTCTCTTTGTAAGACTACTGTAACCCTTCCCAGCTAGACTGAGCTCTTCTGTATAAATATTTGGAATAAATGAATAAACCACTGAAATGTCTGGAAGAAGTAATAAGCAAGGGAAAATTTAGGGGAAAAAATCAGGACTAAACTTGGGACATTGTATAATACTGAAGTTGTGAGTAGAACAGATACTGTTTAAATTTCAAGTTAGGAAAAATAATTTTGTATCATTATAGGAAAAAAACAGATTAAAAATTATACATTATACAGAGTGGCAGTAAGCCTGGGATAGTTCTAACAATGTTCACGCTTGCCATCATTATACAGTGGTAGTTTTCTCCCTCTCCACCAATAAAAAACAACATGAACTAAAGTTTTTGCTGTTCGGAATATTACAAAAAAAATATATGAAGCAAAATGATTAGAGAAAAAAATATTATCTTGAAGACATGGCAATCAAAACACAAATATCAAGAAGATTTTTAATTTGGATCAGCAAATATAAAACATCTCAGAAATCAAATCGATTTATCCAAAATAAAAAATCCAGACCACTGACTCCAGAGGAATGTACAGGTTTCCTTCACTTCATGCTGTGCATGCGTTCCTGGAAAATGGTGCGTAACTCAAATTTGCATAAAGGGAGCCCATTTTACAATGTAACAACAAGGGATACATTCCAAGACCTCGACTGTATTGACCCCCATACCTATTTTTACCACTTTTACAAGACAATTGTACTGACCAACAGCAGACCGTACACACAAGCACAGGGTGGCAAATGTTTAGTTTGTGCGAAGAGAGGGTGGTGAAGGGTCTTCAGTGTCAGACTTCTCATCACTGGTAGGAGGTACAGGCAGGATATCCATAGGAGAATCAACAGGCATGGGGCTCTCAACACCTTCCAACACCACTGGGGTGGGGCTGGGGTAGCTGAGAGAAGCTTCAAGACTTTGGTGTGTGTCTCTCCCACAATGCACCACACAAAGCAGCTGACTGCAGGCTTCCACCACACCGATTGCATAAGAATGAATTTACCTTGCATATAATGAATTTTTGGTCTAAAAAGAGTCATCGCATAAGAGTGAATTCGCACATACAGAACCCGCATAAAGCAACGGAAACCTGTATATTATGGAACAGGTTCAGAACCCAAACCAATTGGTCTACAACAGAGATGGAAAAAAACAAAGAAAAAATGAATAACAAACAATGGAAAATGTTACAGAGTACATAAGACTCAACGTTAAAAAGTGTATATCTGCTATTTAACATGTCCCCAAACTTTATAGGATATGCCATATGCTTGACTTGATTTTGGAGAAAGTGGCATGGCTGAACTTTTTATGCACATATTGCAGGGGAAACAGTCCAAAAATTAAGCAATTCTGGGAACAAAGGTGCCCAAGAAAAAGAAAATCTCACAAAGAGAAGTAAACACTGGGTTTTTGCCAGTCATACGTAATGTATTTCAGTTTATAGCAATCAGAAATGTGCATGATGCATCGTAGCAGCCATTTGGAATCAATCCCAGAATACAATGATAAGTGATTGGATGAATAAGCTATGGGACATTGTAGCAATGGAAAAGCTGACACATCCAAGAAAGAACAAAGCTGAAGACTGCTATGTTTGGCCATCATTTATAAACTTTACACAATGGACACAAATAATTGGGGCTGGAAAGTTTTCAGAACCTTAATTTTTAATGTATTTAACAGTAAAACTACACGGTAAAGATGCAATACCTGGGCTCCTTTCTCCCTCACACTGGGATAAATCAGAAATAAGGTCAATGGAGTTACTTATATCAGCATAATGTTGCTATAAATGAAAGCAGATGTGAGCCCTAACACAAACTGTTTGATACCTGGAACTTAATAAAAAGTAACGACACAAGAGAATACACATCAGTCAATTTTGTGTTTATTTTCAGAAAGAAAGGTCAGCAAATTCAGTGTGTTGTATAAGAACAGTGGCAAATACAATGACCCCATTCTGTGCAATATAGGCACTGCTTCACCCATTGTCTTGTTACTAGTGGATTCTGGAACATGGCAAGAATCTAGTCCTATCATACCAATTGATACAATCTCAACTCCTGTTTCACTGGCTGAAACATACATATAGTAAAATTCATGCATTCAAAATAAATCCATACAGGTTTTTAGCCTGTATATCCCATACAGATTTATGGTCTCTCTTCCTATTATGTGCATGGGGATAGAGTTCATTCAGAATTAATATGGCCCAGGCAACTTGTCCCATTATGTTTAGGCTTGAAGTTCCCCACTGTTTCCTCAAACACGGTTTTACTGACAAGCTATTGTCATTATGCAAATTTTGATTACAACAACCACTGAGAATCTGCACTAGATTTACTGGTCAAACAAGAAACACTTCTTAAACTGTGTGAGACAATTCAACGTATGGACAACCACATTAACTAAGCAGCAACTACTTCAAAACATCAAGTATTCTCCGTTGATGAAAGAGTGTGCATATTCCAGTGGAGGTGTGAAAACAAGCCACTGACATGATGGCTTTAAGTTTGTTATTTATTTAATCAGAAAGCATTTTTCACCCAGCATGTCATTATCTTTGCTCCTCAGATGCACTGTTCCCTGTTAGGCAACGCTTTCAACAGTGCTCAAGACCAGTTTTGAATGGGAGAGGTGCTTTGGAAAAATTTGACTAGGTATCCAAGTAGTTTGGGTACCTACCTCCCACTGATTTCAAAAGGAAGTAAATGGGCTGCTAAATCACCCAAGTGCTTTAGAAAATTATAAAAAAATTTACACATTACTTGTGCATATTAAGATTCAGTGTCAAATTCTGATAGTTAAAAAAAAACAAACATCAGAGCTACAAGTAAACTTCTGATGAAAAGAGGTGTAGTCACTGAAACCCATGGACACATGCCCCTTTTTAGAATCCCCATTCCTCTAGGAAAGCTTCCAAAGCTTTCTTAAATGACCCCAGTGGTTTTTTTTCTAGCCTCAGTAACCTTGTTGAGTCAGCCTTTTCACACATTTATTAGTGTGAAATAACAGTTTCTGACCGGTGCTTTGGGCTTGTTTCTCTGTTTTCTGTTTATAGCACATTTTCCAATCATCTGTACACGTTAAAATAAGACAAGTGTGTGGAATATGGTGCAAGTTACTGATGGCGGGGCACTTGAATTGACCCCTTTCTTACTTTGAAAGACAATCAAGAGAGCTAAAAGCTTACTAGGTGGGTTCTATATGTGCTTTTACACGCACCTGAACTTAATGTGCATTACCCTAACACGCATTATGGCAATTTAGGCACGCATCTACACATGCATGCACTAAGGCACATTAATGCGGGTGTATGGACCAAATAAAATTAGTCCAAAGTCAACGGACACACACTGAATTAATGCGCATTAGCGCATCTAAGGGCTTGCTAATGCGACTTAGCTGTTTGCACATAAATTTGATAACTGCCTTATCAAATTTAAGATCAAACAGCCTAAAATCACCATTTTTAAGGCGCATTAAGGGCACACACGTGTAGATGCGCACTCTTAATGCACCTTAAATTGGGCTAATGCATATTAAATGTGCACATGTAGACATGCCACTGCAGGTAAAATTCTCACCTAACCATGTGATAAACATCAACTGCCACAGGACTTGCCTTGAAATTGATCACTGAAATTACTGGCCAATTACTTTTCTGTGTGTATCCAGTCTCTAATGCATTCTCCATGTTTCCCCTCAGTGCTGGGGTCCCTGCAAGGACAGCAGATTAGGAGTAGCCAGGCAATGGTGGCTAGGCAGCATCCTATCTTTGTGTGTCACTAGCAGACTGTCAAGGGAGTGTTTTGTTTGGGCCTGGATGGGATTACTCAAAATCAGGGGCAAGTGGCAAAAAGCAGCATTTGCTCAGTCTTTGATGGGGATAAGCTTAAGAAATGGCAATAAAGGTCTCTGATAACAAGAAGAAAAATGGGAAATAGAAGCCTGTAAAGTCCTTACATAGAGGGAAACCACTCACAAGGAGAGATGGGAGGTGCAAGCAGAGGCCTAACAAGTCAGTTTTACACCCTGGGTGGCAGCAGCATTGGCTACCAATCTTGTTTCCTCTCTCTGTCTGTGCCTGAAGCTGGGGCCCTTCTTGCCCACCCCTAGTTATTCTGCTTGGTACAGGCCACAAGGGTGCCAGCATGGATTTACTCTGGTGGTGCATCACAATTTTGACTGGATGGGCAGGACATTCCCTCCTTGCCTTAGTCTGCAGAGGGAGAATTTGTTTCCAAGTGCAATCAATCTGGCTTCTTTACAAGCAATAAACTCACATGAGGAGACAATGAAATGTTCTTTAATTATCACACATCAGTATTTTATGCTGTCATCACTATCTCAGTACAGACACGTAGTATAATTTTAGCTCTAGGGGCAGTTTACAAAGAGGCTCAAATAAACTGAAATAATCGATGCAACCTCTACCCTAATGGGTAGATGCGTTTAGCCATGAATAATAGAAAAAGTAAAGTGGTCACTACTGGGAATGCAGAATCTTGGCCTGTCACTCCAGAATTGCTCCAGCCAATAGAAAGAATGGTGCTGGCTGCACAGTTATTGCCCCGATGAGAAACTGTCACACTTTCTGGGTCATCATGGACATAGAAGGCAAAGAAATACAGAATGTGTATACTTGTCTCTCAACCCCTTAACTCTTTGTATCTCATACTTGCTGTTTTACATTATAAGACGTAGGGAAGCTGGAAGTATGCAATGGTGTATATTTTGCAGAACCTAGGCACTACAGTTGGGACCTCAAGGTGCTACTGAAATAAAAGTTTTAGATAACTGTTTGTTGATCAATGCACACAAACATTAGCTCCACCTTCTCCCATGCACACATTTTAGGTCTTAGCACTCTATGACTTCACCCTGAGGCTTCATACAGACACAGATTTCAATAGCATGGTGGGTCAGTTTGCCTGAGTTGAGGCTTATTTTTCTTGCACTTCGTTTTGCCACCTTAATCTTTTCAAACATCTTCCTTATTTTTTTCTTTGGTCACCTTACTGATGTTCTTCAGTATAATAGCAAACACAACCTAGTAAAGATGGAAAATTCTCCTGGCCAAATCTTTCCGGGCAATGCAGTTTGTCTTCTATCTATGGAGAATGTATAACGCAACAGCCACAAAAAAAAAGAAAAAAGGGTCTTCCATTTTTGGTAAGGAAAAGCTGACACGGAAGACTATCAAAATTCTCAGTAGCATGACTACTACTGAATAAAAGAAACATCCCGTTGGCAGCCCAAGGAAAGGGAGGAAGTGGGTTGAGAAAAATGAAATTTGTTTTAAAGTGAGTGCACTAAAAACAAACCTCTGTTTAAGACATATCAGTCGGAAAAATTCTGTATCTGCAAACAGCACTTCCAAAATAAACGGCACTTACAGACACATGCACACACACACAGAGGCTTAAATAAGGCAGTGTCAAAACTTCCTGCGACTTCTTTGGGTCCTAAATGAAATGAAAATTGTATTTGGACTGATCTACTCCTGTCTGACAATGGTCTTAGGTTAACAGATAAAAATAAAGGTTTCTATCCTGCACATCTTCATTGCATGATGGTTTCATTTCTTTATCCAGTGGAATGAAGACTGAGGGCCAAATCTGTGCTTAATATGAATCCACAAGAGTTAGGATTGCTTCGCATTTTGTAAAATGACATCCTTTGTGAGTAAATAAGAGTTAAACACCACGAGGCAGTGATAAACATGTTAAATTGGGAAAAAGTCTGTTAACAAACTGAAGTTATTTCCTATCTGGGGTTTCTATTTGCTCCAATATTTATACCCTGGTTGAGAAAGGAAAAATAGGGCCATATAATATATTCACCAAGGGGTTCTTCCTCATGCTTTGGAATGGCTGACTCATTTGCTTCCATTACATAATCTGGCAACTCTTTTCAACAGTGTTCTGAATGGTATAGTTAGATTTGCTTATGGAATTCAAAGTATGATGGGAGCTAGAAGATTAATCAGAAACCCTCTTTCACACTTTTTCTTTACCTGGGGCAATTTTCCCTCTTAATCTCACATGGATCCACTTGTTTGAGGTTTTGTTAGTTTTTTGAAACACAGTGCATAACAGACTGTATCCCCGACTTGGGCTGAGGGGTCAGTTTTCCATCTTGGGTACTAATTGGAATGGAGAAAAGTGATCCTAGACCGCTTTGACTTTATAAGGAAAATCCTCAGCTGCCTTTAACCTGTCTCTGTCTTCTTCTACAGGCTGTTCAATTTATCTTTGGTATTAACTTTGGCCCAGTAGTTGGCTCAATATTCGTAAGAGCCGGAAGACGCAACAAATCACTGAGAGACAGGAAGAGAAAAGCCAAACTCCTCTGATACACCAGACTTGATTATGCAAAGCCTTACTCAGTGGTTAAGCACTTAGGCAAATAGCCCATCAACGGGAACAGTCCTACGAGAAAGTGTTCCACAGTGACAGAAAGGAGACTGGGCTTTTAAAAAATGTTATGATTAAATGCAAGTGGAAGATTATGGCACCAATTTAATGAATAAAAAATAGAAAAAGAAAAAAGTACTAAGGTCATTGATGTTCTGAGCCGCAACCTCTTTATCGTGATGGTCAAGTGGTCTGAGTCAGTGTGCTTATGCTCTCTTCGATCTCAGACAGTTTCTTCAACATTTGATTCACTCTGGCTTCATCAAACTCCAGACACAGAAAATCAGATTCCTACAAATCAGAAAGAAAGAACAGTTAGATGAGACAGAAGACTGCTTCCTGTGAATTCAAAAAAAGTATGGACTGTTAGGGAGAGGCCATTACAACGCAGGGGACCAGAAGAGCTCTACATCAGCAGTTCCCAATCTGTGGTATGGGTACCAGCAGTGGTACACAGACACCCCGTCAGTGGTACATGTTAACAGATTTATTATAATTACTTCATATGACACGAATTTGCTGGTTGTACTTAAGGTTGAACTAAAAAATTTGCTGATGGTACATAAGGTAGCATTGTTTTAAATTGGTGGTGTGCAATCTGTCAGAGTTTGGGAACCACTGCTCTACATCATTGAACAATGGTACTTACAAACAATTAAGGAGCAGCCCTGATGTACCCTGAAAGGTCCTGTCTCCTGAGGGGAAAAAAGTGAGCTGCTCTAAGGTAGGTTGAAAATGAGGATAAGGAGCAGTAAGAGGGTGCCAGGGGCACAGAAAATAATGAATATGAAAAGTAAATGATTCTAACCAAGTGGAGTTAGGTAATAACAATCAATGTAAAAAGACTTCTGAGGTCCCTGACACAGTGGTCTCATTCCTCAACAGAGCATGCCGTCAGAAAAGGTTTCCTGTGTAATCTAGGAAATAGCACTTAGTTATTGCAAGTGTACATGGCCATTACTTAAATGCCATTCCAGGTGAATCAGTAGCAATGGCAAAAAAAAACACTGGGAAATAAGTAAAATAATGCTAATTCGAATAAAGCCACTATCAGTGACAGGCTGGAGCTGTGCAAGACACTCAAGTGAGAAAGGAAAAGCTAAAAACAACATCATGGGAAAATTCCAATTTTGAGAAGAAAACAAACCCTAATTTCAACTAGAAGAGTAGCATGCAAAAAACAAAAAGGAAGGTTTCTTTTTTGTAAAGAGATACTGAAATATTCAGCCTTCCAGGCAGTCTGACTCACTGAAGATCCACTGATCCTTTGTACAGAATGGATTCGCCAAACTACCTTGTAAGAATAAAGGACAGCTTCAAGTCTGAATGAAACTACATTTTTTCAACACGTTTAATATTTATCGGACATTACTGTGTCTTAATTCTATATGCTTAACTTAGTATTTAATGGTTGAGACTTTTTCCAGTGGCATTTTTTTCTAGTGATTTAATGTTTGATTTTTTTTTTTTTTTTAACCTATACTTAGAAAAAATGGCATTTAAATTTAACAGAATCTAGAGTTTCCCATGTGCCAAAGAAAAAAATAAACCCTTTGCTTCCTGTCTCTTACTAGAAAAGACTCCTTATTTTTAATAAGAGAAAAAAAGGAAGAAAGAAAATAACATGAGTAGCAAAGACAAGGCAAAATGCAGCAAAGTAAATAATAAAGGCACGGCAACTTATTTATTAAAAGCATAAACTCGTCAAGTGAAATGATATGGTCCAGGTTTCAGGAAGCCTGTGAAACAAGTGTGCCTGAAAAATCAGGCATTTAATGTTACACTTAAATTGCATATGGAATTACTACAGGTATATGCACAAATCAGCAATATGAGCTTAAATGTATAATTTATAAAAGCCATCTATGGTACATATACATTTTCATTAGATGAACAATTGTGGGTACTATGTACTAACATTCATCTGAATATTTTCAAAAGGAATTCAATTAACTAAACATTAATTGTTAATATCATTTACTGCGAATCCTTTGGTCTCCATTTCTGCTATTTTTTTCTAGTTCTATTACTCACTTTACAATAACTTCTGTATTATACATACGATGGACTGATTTTCTATGCAAGGCATTTAGCTATACACTCAAAAGTGTATAATTTGTTCATTTAAATCCCAACTGAAACCCATTTTGCATTGTCTCCTAATTAGTTTAATCCAATAATTCCAGAACATTTCATAATAAGATTATATTTTCAAAGTTTTTCTGATCATTTCCTATGCCTTTTCTTTAAAGCAGAACATTTTATTAATTTTGATTCCAAGCAGTATGGTGAAGCGTAGCCCTGTAACTAAATTCACGTTGGATAAAGATATGCAGAATAAATGCAGAGGCCTCAACCCCACAGCTATGTCCAGAGTTCTCTATTGAAATTCTGAGTCTTATGAGTGATTTATCAAATCACTCAAGTGTGAGGGTTTCATAAGGATTTTTAATATAATTTGATCAATTTGACAGCTAAGGAATGTGAAACACCAAGGAACTGTATTAATATGGGTGTGAAGTCTAAGATTAGGAGTTGAAGAGAAAGCCTCCCACTATTTGTGTCTATACTTTAAAACGCCTGTTAATGCTATACCTTACAGAAAAGGCTTTGGCATGTTGAAGCCCACACATAAAACATATAAACACCCTCGTGAAGCCAAGTTAAATTTGAGCAGTCTGTGGTATTAAAATATTTGGTATGGAATTTAACAGCTTATCTGCGTTTGGCACTCTGCTTTGTTGTAGCTTCCTGTCCGATTAGTGAGCAATGGAAAAAATCTAGGTCAAACGCTTGAAAAGGCCTCTAGAAATTTATAAAATTTCCTCATGCCAAGGATGAAGGAGTTGGTGAATGATAGCTTAAATTCAGGAATATCTTCCCATGCATGCCTTGATTGGAAAACAATTGTGGGAAGGCAGATTTTCAAATGAACAGTTATTCAATAACCTGAGGCTTTACAGTGTCACTGTACTGTAACCTGACCTCGCATGCTCCCGATGGAGCGAGCTACCCCACATCTGAATGAGGATGGCTGGTAAACGTTAACTCCAAACCTCAGATTTGGGTGCAATCTCAGTGAACTGGAACACAGAATTCAATGTACAGTAATACACTTCTAGGTCTGAGACCAGGGCAGCTTTGAAACTTTTCTTCTCAGAAACCTATCGGGGAAATATTTTTCAGCTTTTCTCCACAAAAGTCCCACTATATCAGAAGATGATAGATATAGCAAACCTTATATTCATATAACTGAGCTCTTTTAATATGCTAATGTTTCACAGGCTCATTTTTTAGGAACCAAACAAATAAAATTCAATAACAAAGCTATAGGGAGGTTTTACCTTGACCTTTCAGAGAACATGACCACACTGTATTACAGTCTTGGCCTGATTGAAGTCAACAGCAAAACTCAATGATCTGTGCGGGGTCAACTAGAAATTCTCACTGGATACGAGAAAGTATGGCTAGTATGTCTGTGCCTCCTGGGAGGGAGTTGAAGGGAGAGAGATTGTATAGTGAATGGTCCCAGATTTTTATCCATGACTGTGCAGGAAATGTGAGAAGCAAGGATATTTGGGGGTGGGGAGGGTAGAGATGCTATCTTTCATTTGACCAACTGCATGGCTGGAAGAGATTTTAGACAAGCTTTCGGGCACCATGCTTCCTACTGCATTCCCATCACCTTTCAGCTAACCCCAAGAATATTTCCTTGCTCTTTTATAGGCCTACCGGATTCCTTTAGGCAGGCTGCTTTTATTTACATATGGAGTTTTTCACAGGCTGTTGGTCTATTCATTGCTTTGCTCAAGCTGCAGCTGCTTCAATAAATAAATAAATAAATAAATAAATAAAGCAGTTTGTGCTCAAAAGCTTACTTAAATTCTTTCCCAACCATACAGTGGATCCAATAAGAGACTTACCCTTCTCCAAAATATCCTCTGTCCCTAAATTTTTAGACATTAGTTTTACTATAACCTGCTGGAGCCATACAGCATGAATGGCATCATCTAGTCACAACAGTAATGTGTTAGAAGTGACATGCAGAAAGGACAAAGAACATGTGGACCCTTTTGGCTTTATAACAATGTATGATGGTGGTAGACCACAAGGTTTGGTTCACTTTGCTTGTATTCAGATATTCGCTACTCTGTTTTGATGGAGGACTGCCAAAGGACAGCAACAAAGACTGAGGTCTCATCTGTGCAAGAAAAGTTGGATCTGGTATATTTAATTACATACATTTCTAAACTGGTCCTGTCCTTGTCTATGTAGGATTTTTTTTACTGTAGGATGTGAATTTAAATCAAAGCATTTGTACAGATATACACTCCCCTGGGATAGACACTTACACAGAAATACCTTGCTTACTTAAAGACACTATCTATGTGCACATTTATATGTACTCTGGAGGTGTGGGGGCAGCGCTTTAATTAGGGAGGATCTGAGAGTCACTCTAACTAAAGTGCCACAGAGTCTCATGTATCAGTGTCCCTGTGCTTCAAAATGGTGACAGGGGCGCTTAATTAAAGCTCATTTGATAAGCTTTAGTTCAAGCGCCCCTGCTGCCATTTTGAAATGCCTGGATGCTGATACACAAGACATGAGAGGCTGCTGGAGTACGGTAATTATCGCACTTCAGCAGACTTGATTAATTGAGGCTGCTCCGACACGTGTTGGAGCAGCCTCCAAGCTCACATACAGGCACACTTTGGGAGCAGGTTTAAACAAAATCAAAAAAGCCACTGTCATACCAGAATATGAACTTTCACTTAGGCTGTGAACTGAACTTGCAAAGCTGCTAAAATCTTCCCATAGAGAAAAGGCATTACTTATATCAGGGCTGTCCAACTTCTGAGTGCCTGGGGGCCCCAGGACCCTGAAATATTCACCGTGCAGGCCCCCCAATCCCAGGCCGCATATTTTGCCATGAGCTCCCCCTTCATAGTTTCATAGTTTCTAGGGTCAGAAGGGCCCTGAGCAGATCATCAAGTCCGACCCCCTGTCACGGCAGGAAAGAGTACTGGGGTCAAACGACCCCAGCAAGGTGTACAACTAGCCTCCTCTTAAAGACCCCCAGGGTAGGAGCCAGCACCACTTCTTTTGGAAGTTGGTTCCAGATCCTAGCTGCCCTGACACTGAAGTAGCGCCTCCTGATATCTAGCCTAAATCTACCCTCTGCCAGCTTGTGACTGTTATTTCTTGTCACTCCTGGTAGTGCTCGGGAGAACAGGGACTCCCCCAATGCCTGCTGGTCCTCTCTGACTAGTTTGTAACAGGCCACTAGATCCCCCCTCAGCCTTCTCTTGTGGAGGCTGAACAGGTTCAGGTCCATGAGCCTCTCCTTGTAGGGCCTGCTCTGCTGCCCCCTTATCATGCAGGTGGCCCTCCTCTTGACCCTCTCCATGTTGTCCACGTCCCTCCTGAACTGCGGCACCCAGAACTGGACACAGTACTCCAGCTGCGGCCTGACCAGTGCTGCATAGAGGGGGAGGATCACCTCCTTGGACCTGCTCGAGATGCATCTGTGGATGCATGACAAAGTACAGTTGGCCTTCCTTGACTACATCCCCACACTGCCGGCCCCTGTTCATCTTGGCATCAATGATGACCCCAAGATCCTTTTCTGCCTCTGCACTGACGAGAAGGGAGTTCCCCAGCCTGTAGGTACGCTGCTGGTTCTTCCTCCCCAGGTGCAGCACCTTGCACTTGTCTGTGTTGAATCCCATCCTATTCTTGTCTGCCCACCCCTGTAACCTGTCTAGGTCTGATTGCAGCCTATTCCTCCCTTCTGGCATGCCCACTTCTCCCCACATCTTAGTGTCATCTGCGAATTTGAACAGGGTGCTTTTTACCCCCTCATCCAAGTCTCTGACCCACCCACTCCACAGACTCCCAACAGACCGCATGAACCGCCAGAGCTCCCATCATGAAGATTTGCTGTGCTGTGAAAGGGTTCTGCATGTACATGCTGCCAGCCCCCATCACACACCACCCACCCCCCTGCCACAGAGTAGACAACTGCTGCACCACGCTAGTGCAGATGCCATGCAGGGGCCCCAGATCCCTCCAGCCACATGCTCCCTCAGCCACCCAGGGGCGGAGACAGGTAGCAGAAGCTGGAAGAAAAGGGAGCCCAGGGACTCTGGCTGCAGCAGCAAAAAGCAAAGGAGGAATCAGTGTTTGGACCAGGAGCCCAGGGGCAGCAGTTTAGCCCCTTGGGGAGCATCCAGACATGCAGGCACATGTAGTGTGAGGCATCACAAGCCTCATGCGTTACACATTAAACCATGTCTGGCACTTCTAATTTGCTGCATGGGGGCAAAATTTGGTACTGGGATTTCCTGGTGGCAGAAAAAAACAAAAACCCTAGAAAAAAGTAGCACGAAACATGCAAAAATAGTATGCACTGGGACAAACATGGAAACAGGGGAGCAACCAGCCCTGGGTTGCCTGCTTCCCCATCTTGAGGCACACTGTGGCCCAACCAGCCACTCTGTTGGGTTGTGGTGTGCCTCAATGCGGGGGCTCCACAGTGCACGGAGACAGGGGAACAGGCAGCCTGGGACTGCCTGCTCCCCCGTCTTTATGTACCATTCCCTGGCTGGCTAGGGCACAGGGTACCTCCATGCAGGGGCTGCCTGCTGGCTGGCTCTGTGCTGAGGTACCCTATGCCCCAGCCAGCGCCACCCACAGCAGCACATGGAGCCTAGCCGAGAAGAGCTGGGCACTGCCCACAACAAAGGGCATGTGCAGGGGCATGTGCTGCAACACAAAATAGCAACACAAATTTGTGCCACTGTAAGTGCACGCCCCTACTTGTCTGGACACAGCCTTGGGGGCCACGTGTGGCTTGCAAGACACCACTGTACAGCCCTGATATATAAATCAATACAACACTCCTGTTCAGACAAAGCCTGAAAGCCAAGCAGTTGAGAAGGCTTTAAATCAGACTGTCTGGAATACTGTTTTGTTTCACATGGCACCTGTTTAACTCAAATGCCTGGCAACTGCTCAAAGGGGAAAAAAAGATTGCTCATAATCTTTGTGAAACATGCAGTCCCTCATTCACTCTCTGGAGAGTTAAAATAATTTGAGTTTAATTATTTAATCCTGTAAAGGATCTCCAGTCAAAACTGGTAAATCAAACTTGTTATCTGAGGTATTTCACTAGTAAGAAAAGTGCAGAATATGCTTTTTCTTTAAGTACAAAACACTCCTTCCCCCCCACCTTCTCAGGACTTCTTTATTTATTGACAAACAAAAGCAAGAAATCCACTTGAAATAAGAAGTTCACAGACTGCTTTTAAGACTCTCAGGCTCTTAACGTATCACTTAGTCTGAAATTCATACGATATGCCCAATATACCAGCTCACTCCCCTTGTTGGGATCCAGCCTGTGTGCAAAACAGAGTTGAAAACATCTTAAGAAGCTCTGAAGCATAATGTTAAACCTCCTTATGATTCCTAGGAGAGAAAACTGGATCTCAATGTGGTCTTCACAGCAAATAAACTGGTCTGACAGAAGTGTGGGAGTCTGCCCACCTCTCTGTCCAGAGGTTCCCTCCCCTGTTTCTGCTCCAGGGGTTCTTTGTGCTCATTTCCCAGTTTATGACACAATAACTAAAACTGCTAAACTGTAATAAAATAAGAAGTGGTAACACAGTTTTCCACCCCCCTCTCAGGGCTCATGTACCATATGGGTGGAAGGTAAAGTAGAAGACCTGTCCCGTTGCTCACTAGAAGCAGGTTTCAAAATACCTAATCAGATTAGATAAACCTTTATCAGATCAGAGAGACCTAATGCAGTATGGTGTGGCAGCCTGGAGATAAATACATATGTGTGCTGGTTCTCAACTGGCTGTCTGTCTAGACAGCTGTGGTTACTGCCAGGTAGAACTGCCCCACATGCTTCTATTTCCAGGAAGCATGTCCAGAGCTGGCTGCAATAGGAAAGATCACTCTTGTCTGAATTACTTGATAAACCTAATGCAGGATGGAGCATCTTCCACAGCCACTTCCCAGTCTGGCTCTGCACAGGCCTCCCGGAAACAGAAGCACACTGGGCAGTGCCATCAGGCCACAGCCACAGTGGTGGCACGCGCCAAACTAAGGCAGCCTCACCCTGGTTGTGAACCACTGATTGAAACACTGTGGCCCTCAGTGATGCAGCTCACTGAAAATGTCCTGGGTCTATTATTTGGTGCATTTTAAGCAAGGAGTTGTCATCACAGAATCAAAGGGGGTAGATCCTATTCTACCTATTAGGCATTTAAGTGGTAGTCAGGCTATAAGCATACATCATCCTTGAAGCAGGATCAGCTGGGCTAGGGTGTGTCCTGGCACAGCTGATCTGCTCCACTGGGTGACACAGATGTCACTCATTGTTTTGAGTTATGGCATGGCAGCACTATACATGCAGCTGAAGGGGCACAACTCAGCCAGCAGGAAAACTGGAGCAAACACTCCTGGGGCTTCAGAGTCTCAATCCTACATGGGATTTCCCGAGGCATGCAGCATTGGGCCCCTGGACCCCCAGGAGTGCCTGCCTGCAACAGATGGAGAACATGGGCACCCCTAAGCTGCCAGTGCTTTCTTGCCATAAAGCAAATGGACACCTGCCACAGAAAAGCAGCACAAATGTATATCCCTTACAGACTTTCCCTACACCTGAAGAAGGGAACTTGGGCCTGAAAGCTTGCAAAGAACAATTTTTCCAACTATTTAGTTGATCTAATAAAAGATATCACATCTACCCAAAAGAACATTTTCTGCCTATGTCCTTAGACTAACACAGCTACAACCAACAATCCTATCCCCTACTGTTGCATCCGTGATTTAGGGAATCTGTGGCATGACAAAGGGCATGGATGTCTGTTTGGGCTTTGTGTCACCATACCATCATTTATGGAAGCACAAAGGCAATGTCTGCTTCCAACCTCAGATGCCTGTGTGTGATCTTATTTTACCTTGCTGGAGTCTCTAAAAACATGTTAATAATGTGTCTGCTTTTGCAGCATGCCTTCATCTTACCTGTCACAAGGATCCACCCACTTTGCTCACTAATAGTTTTTCAGGGACTTCAGCAAGGTGGAACAGGACTGCCCTTTGTAGTAACACCTGTTCAACTTGTTAGGCATCTATCTCATCAGATAAGCTAAGTACAACCTTTGAACTTGCACTCAGCTCTGTTTAACTAGTACACTGTTTTCTTAGACATTCAAGCGTATGCAGACTCATGGAATCTATGTCCTATCCAGGTTATAACTTTAAATCAAATTTGTAAACAGCAAAATAGTGGGTGCTAAATACACTTCGAGTCTACCTACATCACAACTAATACTCTCATTCGTAACCAACTGTGACTACTTAAGGAATCTATCTCCATACAGTTTACAAACTGAGGTTTATGTTTGGACGCGGCTGTATCATGGGAGACCTTAATGTTTGTGGAACCCATCATGGACTCTCAGTGTGGTCATGTAGCTGCCTGATCAGGGACGATGTTGGTTGTTAAACCTTAACAGTTACTTACTCAGGTGGAAGCACCTTGGAGAAAGATTGGGCTGAGGTGAGAAGCACATTTGACTTCTCTGCAGAGAGCAGGAAAGAGAAGAGTGGAAAATCCCCAGCAGCAGAGTAAAGAAATGACTATGTTAATGCCAACCTTTATAAACCGCAGAGACTCGGTGGTTCAGGAAGACTCACAGAGCCACACAGGAAAAGAGGGGCTTGCTTTCATAACAGAGGAATCCTGCTTAACTGAGATATTAGCCAAAGTCAGTTAAGCTAATGAGAGAGAAGAAACTCAGGCACAGAAGCACGTGTAGGGTTTACTCTTCTGTGTGGACTGGTATTTCCTTTGTCACATCTAAGTCAAGGGCAGTGGTGTTTTAAAATCCTGTGCAAAGAGCATGTAGACATATGCACATACACGATACGATACCCCAACCATGTATCCTTGCATCCTTTTCTCTGAGAGTGCAAACAGAAGTTCTAGCCCCTTGTCATGCTCCACACACCCAAAAATATTGCAGTGACCAAAGATAGTCACAGTATATGGTGCCTATTGGGAAGGATATCTATTTGCTTATTGCATGTCCCAGGAATCCCCCTGCAAGGGACTCCTGCAACATGCATATCAGGCTGCTACACCCTGACTCAGGGTGCACATCTGCCAATGAAGGAATGCTGTCCTGCAGGATTAGGCCCCTGAAGCGGCAGGGATCTGACCCTCAGGGACAATGGCCCTGGGTGACAGGGGACACATTCTGTGCCAGGACACAGCCTGCCACAGCTGATCCCACTCCAAAGGCAATGTCCGTTTATACCCTGAGGCAAAGTTAACAAAGATGCGGACACAGACACAGCTTTAAATGTTCTTTCTACATATCTCGAGGTACCAGGCAGCTTGTGAATGCTGTGATGCTGGGGTGCATGGAGTGTCCTACAGGAGTGTGGGGGGCTCCCCAGTACACTCGGCAGCAAATCTGGAAGTGGACCAGAAGCACTTCCAGTCCACTTCCGGGTCCACCAGGGAGCGTGCAGGGGGCCCTCCCACACCCCTCTGGCTCGGCGACTGCTGCCTCCTGGGTCTTGGGGGGGGGGAGAGGGGAGGAGGGGCACCTGGGGTCCTTCCTGCAGCTGACTGCCAAACCGGGGGTTACAGGGGGGGCCCCTGAGTGCACTCCCTGGCAGACCCAGAAGTGGACCGGAAGTACTTCTGGTCCACTTCTGGGTTTCCTGCTGAGCACATGGGGGGGGCCCCCTGCACTCCTGTGGGACACTCCATCCGCCCCAGCAGCGCAGTGTTCATGAGCCATGCCTGATACCTCGAGGTCTGTAGAAAAAAAACATTTAAAGCAGTGTCTGTGGCCAAATCGCTGATTCTCTGAATCAGCATCGAATCTTCAGATTTGGATTCGGCCAAATCAAATTGGGGACAGTGATCCGAATCAACAAATCAAATCACTGTCCCTGATTCAGGCCGAACCCAAATCGAATACAGCCCATTTTGTACACCCTTAATGTGCACATTCTTGCTTTGGGATTTCAGGAAACAGCAGGAACTATGAATAAGAAAAACATTTTAAAGGCACATTTCAGAGAGCAGTTCTCCAGTGCCTACACTAAGAATGGTTGCAGTTTAGTGTGTCGGAATCTGTGCATGGCTTAGTTTGGCCTCACTTTTTTTTTCCAAGGCCAAATCAGTTCCAAATTAAATTGGGCAAAGCCAAAGAGTCAGATTCCAAAATTCAACTGAGCAGAGCTCAACTGTCAAGTCTGTGTGGCTCTATTACTGGGGTAAGTATTCTCCCCTCCCAGACCCATTGGTCTGGGGTTCAGATGCCCCCCCAAACTCAGGCAGGCATCTACGTGCAAGCCTCAGGCCTGAAGACCTTGGGGTTCAGAAACCCCCTCTCTCCCTTTATCACTTGTTCCATCACCAGGGTTGTGCTATTACAGAGCCCCACTGACTTCTTTGGGACTCTGCACAGGTGCACGGGGCTTTCTGCCTAGAGGAGACTGCAAGCTCAGGGCCTCTTCTCTCTTTAATCACCCTGCCAGCCTTATTCTTGTGCTGCAATACATAGCACAAAAGCCTGCCCTTGGCGTGTTTCAGATAAAGAGTGCTTACACATTTCAAAAAGGAGTGGAATTTGATTTAGAAATACAAAGGTAGACAATCTCGCAGATAATAAGAGCTAGGTCACCACTGCCTCTTTTCAAATAGGATTATCAGTATCACTGGTTTTAGCTAAATTTGTGTGTGGAGACAGACTTTTCCCTAAACCCATTAAAATAAGAAGGTGGGGATTTCCTTGTTTAAAGTCAGCAGAATTAGGGTTAAAGCAGTGAGGTATTAATCCTTTAAAACAAAGCCTATCTCCTGTGCAAACAATTGGGTAATGTTTCCAGCAAAACAACTTGTGGTGGGGAGGGGGAAGGTAAATAAAACTATTACAGGCCTAAAACCATGCAAATAAATGGTTGTAAATAGTATAGCAA